TCACCCTGATAGTGGATCCGGAAGCCACCGCCCCTGGGGACCCGTGGGCTCTGGAAGTGCAGGAGCAGCCGGTTGGTTGGACTCCGAAGGACCTGTCCTTCTCCCAGCATGGAGGAGTTAGCAAGGAGTCGGGGGGCCAGGCCTGGGGACCCCCCACCAGCCAGCACCAGGAGTTCTTCCTCCCGAGATAGGTTCAGCGTCTGCACCTAAAGAAGCCAGACCCAGACCCCCCGCCCCCCCCCCAGGACAAGTAAGTCAGGGTGGGTGTCCCCTAAGTCCCCCACCGTCTGTTTTCCTTTCCCCTGAGTGTGGCAGCCCAGATACCACCGTGACATTGGCCAGATTATAGACCTCCAGGAGAGTCTTTGAGATCCTCAGAAAACAGGCCCATTTGAGTCGGAAAAGTTTCTCTGGTTCCCAGGCCAAACCTGTGCACACACCTGGGCCCAGAGGAAAGGGCTTGGGGGCTTCAAAGTCCAGTTACCTGGATCTCGATGCCGTAGCCGGGGTAGACGTGGATGCTGTATGTGCAGTCCAGGAGCCCCGCGGTGCGGCTGGCGGCACTCCCCAAATCTGGAGACTCCACGTGCCCTTCGCCCTCCGAGATGTTGTTATTACACAGAACTAAAGAGATACAAGTGGCTGGAGCTGAGTGAATCCCTGTGTTTCTTGCCCTCCCAGCCAAGCAACTCCAGGAGCCCTCACCTGTCTTGTCCCCAGCACCCCTTGCCATCTTTATCCGCTGCTCCCTCTCCCACCCCTGCCCACAACTCCCTTCCCCAGCTGTAATAGAGAGAAAACACACAGCACGGTGCTGGTACACAGCAAGGAGAAACACATGCCAGCCTTTATTATTATTGCGCAGAGGCCCCTCTCCCATCGGGACCCAGACCCCTTCTTCCACACGTTTCCAGCAGCCTCTCCCCCTGCATGCCACCCTGCTCTCCCGCATGCATGCTCCTGCACACTGTCCCCATCCCCTTTCAAACGCCTCACCTGGGCTGGTCACCGTGGTGGTAACAGTTGTCGTGGTGATGATCGTGGTCGTGGTCTCCTCCTCTCCTCCCTCAGGCCCGAGGGGCGGGCCTGGGGAGGCGGGGCCAGGAAGGGGCGGGGCCGTAGTTTCCGGGGGCGGGGTCAGCAGCTCTGGTGCGGTGGGGCCGGCCCCCCGGCCCCCTTTAGGGGTTACAGCTGTTGTCAGAGGCCCTGTCCCTGGCTCAGTGGCCCGTGGCAGGGAGGGCGCTGCAAGAGTCTGGCCGGCTGGAGGGGTGGCTAGTGTGGGGTCTGGATCAGATCCTGGGACAGTGCAAGGGAAGTCAGGGCGCAGAAGGAGCGAATTGGTGGGCCATGGGTGGGGAGCAGGGCTGAAGGAAACTGGGGGCTCCCCCACTGAACCCAAAAGACCTCCCCCACAAGGTGCAGGCCCCCCACCTCTCCCTTCCGCACCCGAACTCTGCACCCCTTCCCAAGGCTTCCACAGCCTGACCTCCCCACCCCTCCCTCTCCACCTCTCTACCCAGGCCCTTCCGCTTGGCTCTCTCTGGGCAGTCTCCTTGAGCCTCTCCATGCTTCCCCGTTCAGACCTGGCTCCCTTTCCTGCGCACCACTTTCTCCCTCCCTCTTTCTCTCTTTTGCTCTCTCTGGAACTCTTCTTCTCTGTTTAGTCTTCTTGTGGCTCTCTGATTTTATGATTCTAAATCTGCTACTCTCTGCATTTCTCTCTCTTTCTGTGTCTCTCTCCCCCTATTCCTCAGACTCTGGTTCTCTGAGTTTCCATCTATCTTTCTCTCTGACGGTCTGTTTTTCTGTCTGGCTCTGGCTCTTGATCATTTGGTCTCAGTTGCCCTGGTTCTCTGTCTATGCCATCTTGACTCTCTCTAACCATCTCTCTCGGAATGTCCCTGGCTTGGGTCCCCATCTCCCCGAGTTAATGTCCCTCCCTCTTTCTCTATGTCACTCCTGCCACTCTGGGGGCCTCACCCGGCAGGTAGCCCATCTCTGGACCCCTCCTCAGCAGGGCCCCATGGAGCAGCTCGGCCAAAGCCTCAGAGGCTGCTGTGGGGGCCTCACTTCCAGGCTCTGGCAGTGCCTCTTCTTCCTTCAGGGGCAGACCTAGGAGATGAAGTTGTGTGAGCCCTTCCACTGCCCCACACTCCTTCCTTCTCCAGAAAGATCTTTTCCAGAGCTCTTCCTCCCTCCTCAGTCAGCTAGGCCTGCAGGAGCTCAGAGGGTCCCAGACTGGGCTGAGAGCCAAGACTGGAGGAGGGGCTCCCAGCTGCCCCTCACACTCCTACACCTTCCTCTCCACCCCACCCCCCTCCCAGGCTGTGTGGGCCTTCGGTGAGCCTCTTGGCTCTTATGAACCCTGGACAGCACCAGCAGAGTGGAGAGGGGCCAAGGAGCTACCTTCCTTTTCCCCTCGATGGTCCTCTTCCCCCAACCCTGGAGCTCTGCGGAGGGTCTGGCAGCATCTCCCAGCCCTCGCTTCCGCAATGCCTAGCTTTCTCTCTGGGTTTCTATCTCTGCAGTGTGGCTCTCTCTCTCTCTCTCTCTCTCATTCTCTGCAGTCTCTGCCCGCTTCCCTGGAGTCTGGCGAGGGGTCAGAATAGAGGACTGAATATATGGGCTCTGAGCACTGCCTCTGTTCATCTGTCTTTGTCCATACGTCCAAGAACATTTGCATGTGCAGTGCCTGGCATCTCTCCCACCCAGGTACCCTGCATGCTTCTGCCGCCTCCGCAGACATCTCCCCAACTTCCCCAGCCCTTCTTCCTGGATTTAACCCCTGAGACGCTGGTAAAAGCTCCCCTCATTCATTTCCCCACCTTCTCAGTATTGGGGTTTAGGGCTCCAGGTACAAGCCAGAAAGCCGCGGCTTGCCGCTTCCCTGTCAGCTGTACCCCTCCCCTCCCCCAGAAGCTCGGAAAGCCCAGGATGTTCAGAGAAAGGATGGTAGAGGACCCAGCTGGGGACCTTCCCGGGGCCTACCCCCACGCTCCCATGTCCTTACCCTGAATCCAGGGACAGCTCAGCAGAATTAGGAACATCAGCTGGGGAGGCGGCGGGTGCTGGGCCCTGGGAGTCCCCATGGCGACTCACACCGATTTCTCTCCTCTGCGCCTCTCCTAAATAATCTAGCTGTCACCTTTCCTCCGTCTCCTTTTATCTTTCCCTTTAATTTTCTTCCCCCCCGCCCCCCGTTAGCAGTTAGCAAGGAAGACAATTTCTCTGCCCCTTGGGATGGAGGGGCAGAATTGAGCTGGGGGTCGCCTGGATCCCGCCCCTCCTTGCCCAATCTCCTCTGTCCTCTGCTATCGGGTCTTTGGGAGAGGGGGCGCGGCTCCGGCTGCAGGGGGTGGGACCGAGAAGGCCGAAGGGGCTGGGTCGCCTGGGTTACCTTCTCGCTCGGGCGCCTGGGTCCACCGAGCTAGCTGGATCCCAAGCTGGGGGAGTGGGGAGAGGCAAGATAGCTTCTGGGGGTCTGGGGTGGGGTCGAGGATCGGGAGGGTCCCTACTGTGCTCTAGCGAGGCTTGGTGGGGAGGGGAGGGGGTTGCGGAACCTGGAGAGCCGAAGCTCGGGCACTGGAGCTGCGGGAGGGAGAAGCTGAGAAAGGTGTCGAGCCCACGTCAGATCCTGGGGACGGGCGAAGGGAGGGGCCTGGGATTTATTTGGGGGCGCCGGGGGAGGGGAGGAAAAAGGAGGAAGTGCAGATGGAGGAAGGAGGGACCACATGAGCCAGACCGTAATCCTCCCTCCCGCGGCCCCTAGGGGAGGCAAAGGAAACTCTGGTCCTAGCTGTAATTACAACCCCTTCCCCCAGCCTTTCCAGCACATCTGGAATCTGAATCTCCTCTTCCCAGGGTGCCGAGGGGCGGCACAGCTGGGTTCACGCTTGCTAAGCTCCCCAATATGCCCCCTGCCCACATCCAGACACATCCAGACATCCCCCCTCCCCACGGGACTTCCCTTTCCCTTTTACAGCTCCTGTGAAATGGGCTTTCCCCTCCTCCAGGAGAATGGCAAATTTCCACGTTTATGAGAAGTCGAAGGGGCGACAGGCCAAGATCTGGGGAGGAGAGACCCCTTCTCTTACATACATTACCCCGGCCAGCTGCCAGGCAGCTTCAACTTTGATTTGTTTTTTTCTCCTGGCCTCCCTCACAGCGCCTCTGGGCGCCCTTTTCAGCACCACCAACTAGCGGACAGCTCTTCCCGGCCCCGCCGGAGCGGGACCGGCCCCCGACGCCGCGGGCGATTGGCTGAAGCCGCCCTCACTGTCAATCAGGCTCCCGGGGTTGGGGTGGGGGGCTGGCTCTAGTGGAGGCGGAGGGGGCAGGGGAGTCACAGGCCGACTGGTCAGGGGATCAGCAGACCTACGGGCGGGCGGCAGTGTCCCTGTCCTCAGTCCGCGAGCGCCGGCCCTGCCCATCAGTCTACGCGCTGGCCCCGCCCCTTGTCTTGCCACGCCCCTCCCTCAGCCCCCGCCCCTTCTTTTCGCATTGCGGGGCGGCTGGAGGTTGGCACAGTGCCCCCTGCGCCCCACGTGGCGCCCCGTCGGGGCGGGGAGGGGAGGCGAATCCGGAGACGACCCCCCCACCCCACCCCGGCTGAGATGCGACTGCCACTGGGTGGGGGCGGGGATAGCTAAGCTGAGATGACTGTGGGGAGGGGTGACGTCAGGGTGAGTGGGAGCCAAGGAAGGAACGAGTAGGAGAAAGGGAGGGGGAGAGAGAGAGAGAGAGAGAGAGAGAGAGAGAAAGACCCGCGGGTCGGGTCGACTGAGAAGCGAGGGCAGAAGGGGACGAGGGGTTGGAAGGAGAGAGAGAAGCCGCTGCGGAGGACAACTGGTTGCGGGCTCTCGGGTCCAGGTGGGGTAGGAACTGCTGTCGGGGGAAGCTAGAAGGAAGGGAGGGAGAGCTAAGAGGCGGGGAGGAGAGGGAGGAGAGAAGAAAGGAGAGGGAAGGACAGAGAGGGTGGGGAAAGGAGAGGCTGAGGGAGAGAAACTGCCGGAAGGAGAAAGCAGAGGGGGTGGGGGGAAGGAAGAGGAGAGAGTTGAAGGAGAAAGAAGAGGTGGAAGGGGAGAGAGAGAGCAGGAAAGAAAGAGAACGGAGGGTTGGGAGGTACTTGAAGGAGGTGAGAAAGAGGGAGATAGAAGGTGAAGAGAAGGCCTCAGGAGAGAGAACCAAGAGTGGGAAATGTGGAGGGGAAACAGCCCAGGGGGTAACCCGGGAGCAGCCACAGACGGAACCGGTGGCGAACTGGGAGGACAGGGGAACTGGGGTCTGGAAGATGCCCCAGGCCTCCTGGTCAGGGCCTCCCTGCCCATCATGCCTGCGTGGCCATCGCCCTTGGCCTCCTCAGCCCTCACCCTGCTCCTTGGAGCCCTCACTTCCCTTTTCCTCTGGTACTGTTACCGCCTCGGCTCCCAAGACATGCAGGCTCTCGGGGCTGGGAGTCGGGCTGGGAGCGTCAGTGGGGGGCCTAGGGGATGCTCTGAGACTGGCAGGCCAAGCCCAGGGGGCTCTGGGGAGCCTGGGGAAGGACCCAGGGCAGAAGGCCTAGTGAGCCGTCGCCTCCGGGCCTACGCCAGGCGCTACTCCTGGGCGGGCATGGGTAGGGTGAGGCGGGCAGCTCAAGGTGGCCCAGGCCCTGGGGGAGGGCCGGGGGTCCTGGGCATTCAGCGCCCAGGCCTGCTTTTTTTGCCAGACCTGCCCTCAGCCCCCTTTGTGCCACGGGATGCCCAGCGGCATGACGTGGAGCTCCTGGAGAGCAGCTTCCCTGCCATTTTGCGGGACTTCGGGGCTGTGAGCTGGGACTTCTCAGGGACTACTCCTCTGCCTCGGGGCTGGTCCCCGCCCCTGGCCCCTGGGTGCTACCAGCTCCTGCTGTACCAAGCAGGCCGGTGCCAACCCAGCAACTGCCGCCGGTGTCCGGGGGCCTATCGGGCACTGAGGGGGCTGCGGAGCTTTATGAGTGCCAACACCTTCGGCAATGCTGGCTTTTCTGTCCTCCTGCCTGGGGCTCGGCTTGAGGGTCGCTGTGGGCCCACCAATGCCCGGGTCAGATGCCATCTGGGTAAGTAGATGCTGCCTACAGAAAACCTCCTTGCCTCCACGATTCCTCCTCCAGACTTTCTTCTCTGCCACCAAAGCTTTCTACACTGTGCTTCTGACCATGCCTCTCTTCTCAGAAATCTTCCATGACTCCCTGTTGCCCACAGCGGCATTTCCTAAGCTTCGATTACCTGCCAACCATCTTCATAAGCTTTGCCATGGTCATTTACCACCTGGACTATGTTTCTTGATACTGATTCCCCTTACATTTTGTTTCACTTATTTATTTAAAAGGAACCTTTATAGAACAATGATAATCAGTATTACTTGCACTGAATAGAAAGTACCCATAAAAACAAATTTAAACTTAAAAAAAAAAAAAGCTTTGAAAATTCTAGTTAAATACTCTAGTCTGAGACTGAAGCCTACCCTCTCTTCCTTTAGAAGGGAGTGGTGTTAGGGGGGTGTTAAAGTTATGGTGGCACCAAACTGAGATTCCTTTCTTCATGTTTTAAAGAGTGAGAGAAAATGGAAAAGGAAACAATTTTGTTATTTAATGCAGGGTTATTAAAACCTTGTGTTGCCTAAAATCATGTCCTGTGCCACCAGTTTGATGTGTTCTTCACTTCAAAGCACACTGGCCTCAGGATCGAGTCCAGATTCTTTCTTCACCTTATCTCCCACCTGTTCCCTTCCTCCCCTTCCCTCCCACCACACAGCAGATCAGGAGAGCCTTTTGGCTGATCCTGGCAGATGCCACACTCGATCCTCAGCCTAGAATGTCTTTCCCCCTTATCACCTATCACCTCCTGGAAAACTCCTACTCAGCCTTCAGGACTCCCACTTTCAAGTGCCACACCTCCTCTGGGGGGGTCCTCCTATTCCCCATCATTTGAGTTGGCTGCTCAGGTTTCTCACAGCACTTTACTGTCTTGTGGTCCTTGGGCCAAAATGGATCCATTAGTTTTATACTAATGAGGGCCGAGCACACAGTAAGTGGGTTCTTGAGCTAAATTGGCAGAAGCCCAAGAAGAGATGCCGCGTCCTCCAGGAAGCCTTCCCTTTTCTCTGGAACAGTAGGCTGTGCTTTGCACTGCCTTTCCCCTATCTCCCAGCACTTCTCTCATCTGCTGCTATATTGTAATTACATCTGGGACACCTTCCAGAGAGCAAGGAGGGACACCACATGGGGCGTTTGAAGACCTTCAAGCTGCTTTTTGACTAAACAGCGTGGGCCCCTCTGATGGAGGCGGGGGTGTTGGATGCCTGGGTCTCTTTCCACAGGCCTGAAGATTCCTCCCGGCTGTGAGCTGGTGGTCGGGGGCGAGCCCCAGTGCTGGGCTGAGGGACACTGTCTACTGGTGGACGACTCCTTCCTGCATACAGTGGCTCATAATGGTAATGGTCTCCAGTTCTACTAGGAGGAAAGAGAGACTGAGTGGAGGGGAATAGACTAGAGGTTGCGGAATCAGGCCCAACCGGCTCCCTCTCCTAGCACTTCCACTTTCCAGCTGCATGACCTTGAACAAGTCATATATAACTTCCCCCAACACCTGTGAATTAGGGCGACCACCTTCTTTATCTGGTAACTGCAGGGATTAAATGAGGTCATGGAGGTGCACAGCAAAGTGGTTAACAAGCCCCTGGGCCTGGACCACCCGGGTTCCTGTCCTACCTCTGGCACTTACTAGCTGTGTGAGCTTGGGCAAGTTATTCAACCTCTTTGTGCCTCAGTTACTTCGTATAAAAATGGGAATAATCACGGTACTGACTTGCAGTTTGTTTTGATGAGTAAGAGTTAACATGTATAAGGGGTTAGAACAGAGCCTGGCACTTAATCGCCAAGTGCTGGCTCTTATGAGTATGTGGTGAGTATTCTGGCAGATAAGTAGTTAATGTCAGCCACTCTCTTGTCTCCAACCCCATTTGCCCTAGGCTCCCCTGAAGACGGGCCTCGGGTGGTCTTCATCGTGGACCTTTGGCACCCCAACGTGGCCGGGGCCGAGCGCCAGGCCCTTGACTTTGTCTTCGCGCCAGACCCTTGAAGGAAGGGGCTCCCTTCAGACACCTGGGCTGGAGAGGTGCTGCACTACTCAGGGATGGCTTGAGTGGTAGCCAGGACCTCCTCTCCGCTGCAGGGGGTGGGGTGGGGCTGCGGGTGGGAACTGGCCAGCCTACACTGAAATACAGATTTTAAGTCCTCTCCTAACTCCTTCGTCCAGCTACCAGCCAAGTAAAAGGCTTGGGGCAGGGGCTCCTGTCCTCTCCCATCCAACTAGCCAAGTACCTCCTTAACACAAGCCATCTCCTTGACCCTCTCCCCCGGAGCCAGCACCAGACCCTCAGCTCAACTTTATTCCAATAATTTAATAGAAAATTAAAATAAATAATATGTAATAGATTGAGAAGACGGCTGAGCTGGTGCAAGCCCAGGCCAGTCTCGTACAAAGTCAAAGGGGTGGGGGGGACTGGTGGGGGAAGGAAGAGGGAGGGAAACTACCCTGCACAATGGTGGGGAGGCGGCTCAGAACATGGTGGGTGTCCGTAAGGACTGGCTTGACACTTTGGCATGTACGATATGCTAAAAAAAAGAGAGAGAGAAAGAGAAAAGGGGAATTCTAAATCATTCTAAACCAGCTGGTGAGGAAGATAGCAAGACAAGGATGGGATGAGGGAACAGGCCTTCTGAAGGGTTCTGACTGACGGAAGGGGCTGGAACATACCGTGTTGTTAGCAGTGAGGTGGGAATGAATGGAAAAGGGCCACAGTGAACTGTACCATGCGACAAAGGGACAGAAGGAAGACCCACGACTTGGCCAGCAAAGCCGGGGCAAAGGTCTGGGAAGGGGAGGGAAAGAGAGAGGAACTGCGTTCCAGCGGTGAGAGGAACACAGAAAGGTCAAAGGTCAGTCCTTGAAGACAATCTGTTGGCCATGAGGACGCTCGTCGTGGGTGATGTGGCGCCGGACATGGATCCTGCGGACACGGTGCTCCCGGTTCTCCTCATCCTCCCCTCGGCCTGCCCCACCACCTCCGGCTGCACCCCCTGTGGCCTCCAGGAGGGCTGGGTCTGGGCCCCGGGGAGTCTCGTAGATCAGGATGTTCAAGGTCTCCTCAAAGATCCGGGCCTCTGGGAATTCCACCTGCAAAAGGCCAGCAAGCCCCAGCTCCTACCCTCTGATGCAGTTACACAGACAGCCCCCCGGCCCAGCTGCTCCTGCACGGGTGCACCCCCTAGCCTTTGCAGTCACAGGTTCTTTGGCCTGGACTGTCCATCCCCTTGGCAAATTCTTTACTCGGCAAAGTCATACTTATCCCTCAAGGTCCAACTCCGAAGTCAGGCAGAGTTACTTGTTTTCTCTCCTTTGCTGCCAAGTCTCTTGGTATGTTCTTGCATTTGACAAATACTGAGTGACGGCCCCGTCCCAGGTGTTCTAGGCACTGGGAATATAGCAGTGAACTAAACAAAGTTCCTGCCTGCAGGAAGTTTACGTTCAAGGGGGAGGACCCAGACATACGTGTAATCAAATATAAACTCTCAGATGGTGACGTTACAGGAAAAAATACAGCAGGAAAAGGGGGTGGGGAGGGTCATGGCCACAAATGTTACAACTTTAGAGAGGGCGTTCAGAGAAGGCCTCGTTGAAAGGGTGACATTCAATCAGCAGTCAGAGGAGGGAGGGAAGGAGCCAGGTGGGTAAGTAGAGAAAGGGCAGGCTGGGGAACAGGCCACAGCAAGGCTAAGAGCCTCGGGGCAGGAGTACACTTAGTACAGTATTTGAAGATCAGCAGGAGGGAGGCACAGTGGAGGGAGAGTAGAAAGGGGTGAATCGAGGAGGTGCTGGAGAGGGACAGAGGAGGTGTCATGTCGTGTGGCCCGGAAGGACAGAGCTAATATAACTCTTAACAAGCTGCATTCTCATTACTGGTTTATCTTCCTGTCTTCCCAATTACAATGGAAACTTCTTGGAAGCTGGGTCATTCATTCCTGCATGCATTCGATAAATGCTTCCTAGCTTCCACTGCATGATAAGCGCCTGTCTAGTGCTAGAGAGACTGGAAGAAAAGCTAGAGCCCCACCCTCAAGGAGCTAACCCCTTGCTGCTGATGTGACACCCTCCTGACCGCTGCAGACTAGGAAGGAAGTATGACCAACTTTGGGGTTGTGAGAGGTTGAAAGCTCATGAGCGAAGGTGTCCCAAAGAAAGCTGTGCTTGGCTTCTGTCTTAAAGATTCAGCACGAGTTCATTAGGCAGATGGGGATGAGGAAAAAGTCCAAGAAGAGGGACTAGCATGTGCAAAGGTGGGGAAGTATGAAATAGCACTGGGTGCTCAGACCCTTGCATATCTGAGGCACTTCCTTCATATCAAGGTCAGAAGGGAACAGATGACACGACAGAGGGCTGGTACTTTACTAGGACTTTCATTCACCTGGATTCCAAGCCTGGCGCTGTGCTTGGTGCAGAGGAGGTACTCAGGAAGTATCTGCTGATGACTGCCAGGTTAATGACTCAGGGCTTACAAACTCAGCATGTTCTAAGAGACCTGTGTGTTCTAAGGCCCTGAGGTTGTAAGAACCTATTTTGGGTCACAGACCCTTCTGAGATTCTAACAACTATGGTCCTTCTATATGGAAAAATGCATGCACACTCCCAAATCTGCACACCACTTCAGGACGGCCTTGAGACCCAATTGGGCTAGGTAAAGAATCCCACTCTAATCCAACACTCTCATTTCATGCCAGAGGAACAGAGACCCGCAGGGGGAAGGTGACTTGCCCATGGTTACACGAGACCCCAGAACTTGGAAGTGCAGCTCTTGACTCCCAGGACATCCCGCTGCCCGGTCAGCTGCACCGCCTCTGGCGGGGGTCCTGGTGGCCGCCCACCACCACAGCCCTCCCTGACCAGGCCCTGAGCCCCTTCTGACCTTGGTCTGCTTCTTCTCCGTGGCATAGACAATGGAGGTGCAGCACACCTCGGCGATTTTGCGGCCCTGCCCGTAGAAGGACCAGCAGCAGATCTCGTCCCCCAGGACATCCTTGAGGAAAAGCAGCCGCCCGTGGAAGCGCAGGGCCAGTTTGTCAAACAGCTCAATGTTCTTAAGGAGGTTGTCATCTGAAGTGCTGAGGACCAGGGGGCCAGGAGGCCTTAGCACACTGGCTTCCTTCCCTCTGTTCCACAGCACAGGGGCCCGCCTACCCTGCATTCAGGCCCTGGGGCCCAGCAGAGAGTTCCTCTGCGCCCCCCCCCCCCGCCCCCGCCCACATCTGGAGTCTGGTTCAACTGGCCTCAGAGAAGCAACATCATTTGCTGAGCAAATCCCCGCACAGCAGAGGGGCCCCGTGGCTTCACCTAACGTCCTCACTGCACCACTTCTTGCAACCAAGTGACACCAGGCAAGTTCCTTCACCTCTTGGTGCCTCGGTTCCCTCTCTGTCAAACGGAGATAGTACTACCCCACACAACCGTGAGGATTATGGGCGTTAATATGTGTAAAGCACGGGAAGCAACGTCTGCTGCGGAAAAGCCCTTAGTAAATAAATGTTAGCCACTCTCATCTAATCCTCGCTGGAACCCAGTTTGCGGGTGAGCACACTGAACCTCCAGGCTGACAATGACCTGCCCACAGTACCCAGAGCTGGAATCTGCTTCCTGGCAGGTATTCTGCCCCTCTGGGCGGCCACAGCCCCCTCACCCCGAGGGGCCCGCATCAGGGCTGTGCCTGAGCCCAGCCCCCCCACCCCCACCCCAGGGCGCCTCCCTGCCCGGTGGTGGTCACCTGGTGTAGGAGTACTTGTTGTTACTGCGGTTGTGCAGGAGCTTCACCACGGGCTGTGGGGGGAGAGAGCACGGAGAAGGGTGGGGTCAGGCTGCAGGGAGAGGCCCACAGCCTCCACCCTACAGGGCTCAGGGGCCTCACCTTGGAGGTGCTGGCCAGGAGCTGCTGCTCCTCCCGGGGAGATGTCACCGTGGGGATGAGGCACAGCGGGGACAGGTTCTCCCTTTTTTGCTGGAGAAGAAGCGGAAGGTGGTTAACAGCACAAAGGTCACTCGCTCCCCCACTTAAAAGCTGTCCAAACCTGCCTGTTGCCTTCCGCGGGGGAAAAATCCAGACTCCTTAGAGGTCCACCGAGCTCTGTAGGTTCCAACCTCTCTGATCTCATCTCTACCACTCTCCCCTGCTTGCTGGGCTTCAGCCCCACCCACGGCCTGTTCCTTGTGCCCACCCAACCCTTTGCTGTTCCCCCTGCCTGGAATGGTCTTTGATGCTGTGTGCCTGGCCCCTTCATGCCATTCAGATAACTCAAAACAGTACCCCTCAGAGGGTGCCGGTCCGTCTCCTAAAGCTCCCTGACTAAAACATCATCCTCTACCTTCTTCTTTACACGTTAGCAGCTCATTCTTCACAGCACTGAGGTCCTCACATTTTCTCATTTTGTTGTATGTTTGCTTATGATCTGTCTCTTCTCACCCAGGGAGTGCCTAGTATACAGTGGCTGCTCAGTGTCTGCTGAATAAATGAACCTGGTTGGGTGAGATGAGGTCTGAGGCAGAACCAGGTACATGGGCTTCTTTCCTCTTTTCTGTTCCAGAATCTTTATGCCAAAACCCCTTTCACCTCTCTCAGCCAGATCTTTTTCTCAACCGTAAATTCCAGAAGTTTTTCCTTTTTTTTTTTTTGAGAAACTTATAAGACCTTTTCTAACATTAGGGATGCCTGGGTGGCTCAGTCGGTTAGGCATCTGCCTTCAGCTCTGGTCATGATCCCAGGGTCCTGAGATCAAGTCCTCCATCAGCTCCTTGCTCAGCAGGGAGCCTGCTTCCCCTGCCTGCCGATCCTCCTGCTTGTGTGTGCTGTCTCTGACAAATAAATAAAATCTTTAAAAAAAAAGACCTTTTTCTAACATTAATATGGAAGAATAAAAGTCTATTATTACTTAGGTCAATTTTTAAAAAGAGTCAAGAGGAAGGGCTCATGCTATCATATATTAAGATATCCTATAAAGCCATACTAATGAAAACAGTGTGGTTTTGGGGAACAAACACAAAACCAATGGAACACAAGAGAATTTGGAAATGGGCTGATGTATATATGAGAACTGATATTTATAAAGGGGACACCACATATCAGTGGGGCAAGTATGGAGTGTGTATTGGTTATTGCTGTGTAATAAACTATCCCCAAGCTTAGCAGCTTAAAGCAACA